TTGTTTCTTGGTAGATTCAATATGGCAGTGTCATTGAATGAGGGCAGTCCAAGAAGTGTAATAGTAATAACAACTAGGTAAGTCCTGGAGTGTATCCATAGATCACCAACTACCCGGGCTGTCCTGTAGTTTAGGTCTTGGTAGCCTTAGTGAACCAGTTCACCAAGTGGGTGGTTTGTTTCTTGGTAGATTCAATATGGCAGTGTCATTGAATGAGGGCAGTCCAAGAAGTGTAATAGTAATAACAACTAGGTAAGTCCTGGAGTGTATCCATAGATCACCAACTACCCGGGCTGTCCTGTAGTTTAGGTCTTGGTAGCCTTAGTGAACCAGTTCACCAAGTGGGTGGTTTGTTTCTTGGTAGATTCAATATGGCAGTGTCATTGAATGAGGGCAGTCCAAGAAGTGTAATAGTAGTAACAACTAGGTAAGTCCTGGAGTGTATCCATAGATCACCAACTACCCGGGCTGTCCTGTGGTTTAGGAGTCTGTCTTGGTAGCCTTAGTGAACCAGTTCACCAAGTGGCTGGTTTTTTTATTGGTAGATTCAATAGGGCAGTGTCATTGAAGGAGGGCAGTCCAATAAGTGTAGCCGTTCGGAATCGCTGTAGTTCAAATGCTGGGCAGCTGAAGAGCACATGCTATATCAGAAAGGAGAATCAAATTAATTTACAAAAGCAAAGAGATAACTTCTAGATGTTTCTGACTCATCTCACGCGTGCCAAGGAATATTAAACAAAAATAATATAATAATTCATAAATAAAAAAAAATGTAACAATATATTTAAATAATTGCTTCCACTCCGAACCATCTTCTCAAATTTCTACCAAAATTCCGCTATGGAGAGGCCACCACCATCCTCACGGGCCATGGCCATGTGCTGGCAGACATTACACGTGTGAATCCCGAAACAGACCTTACCTGCATCCACTGTTCAGAAGAGTCACAGACAGTCGATCATCTTCTCTTCAGCATTCCTGAGACATAGGATGCAAACAGCTATCCTCCTTGGACTGACCCACCTGAATCCTAGATCTATGGCCAGCCTCAACCACAGCATGGAAATTTCTGGTCAACTGGTTCAACTCAGCAATCAAAACAGGACGCGAGTAAAAGCGCTTAGCACTAGTCCATACTAGTGAGCTGGACTCCCCGGGTAGTTGGTATTCTTCGCTCCCTGGGTTATAAATACAGTAGAACCTCCCTGTAAAGGACAACACCTAATTGCAGAACCAAAGTGTCCTTTAGGGAGAGGTGTGTCCTCTTACTGGAGAGTTGCTAAATTGTAAAAATGGTAATTTTGCAAATGAAAACTGTCCTTTATAGAGAGGTGTCCGCTAAAGGGAGGTTCAACTGTATCTTTCTCTATATTTACATATTTTGCTTGTTGTGAGTTGAAAGAATTTGTTATCCAGGTATGTAAATGTAACCTAACAGGGGAATGGTCAATTCAAACTCCATAACCCTTTTATAACTAGATCTAATTTTATATCCAAATCATATCTATTTATAAAAAAAGAAAAACGAGGACCAACAGCCCGAAACGCTTTTATGGTTGGCTTTTCTTAATTTATCAAGAAAATGGTTTAGCCAAATATCAAGGAACAGGTTGAATCAACGTTTAGTTGATTTCTTTTCGATTAGATACTATTATTATTATTATCATTTACAAAGCACGCGATATCCGTCTTGGATATTTGCATGCATACACAAGTTTGGGAGCATTTACAGTAATATATATATATATATTATTAATATGATTTTAGTTATTATAATAGAAATTATTAACGTATTTGTCAGTTAGTTAACGATTTAATTACCCTATAATGAATATTAGTGAACATCACAGTTAAGAACAGAAATTTAGAGCTATTTACAGCATATAACTATTTACCATTTATTACAGCCCAGGCTATCTATTACTAAAAAACATTCTACAAAATCTATTAAAATTTATATACATATATCTATTATTAACTACTAGCCGAATGACCCGGGCAACGCCCGGGTTTTACCCTATTAAATGTACCCTATTCAAATACTATTCGTTACAATTATAAATTGGCGCCGTGGATGTCACTCTTGTGAAACGTCCCACTCCAAACTTTGTGTCTGAGAAGCGATATTTTTATAGAAAGATGATCTGGCTTTTGTTTTCTGCTCGAATGAATGTTTTTCTGTTAGAATTTTGTTCCTGCATACAAAATAATGAACTGGTTTCACCCGTGGTCTCTGCTTTTTAGAATTTTTCCCGATATAATTTTGTATCTGATAATCAAACATGATACAGCAATATCGTCATCATCATTTTCTGACTAAAAATATATAGTTTTAATAATTGATTTATATATTTTTTAAAATAGCCTATTGTCTTCCCCGTATTCTTTTACCTATGTATGGAAATTTTGGTTTGAATTAGTGAACTACTGCGAATTTGTATACCGGACATACAGACAGACAAACATACAAACATTCATTTATATATATATGTCATAATATTACCCTTCCAGGAATAATAAAGTAAATCTACAGTCGACCAGAGAGAGACGTAGGGAGGAGGATGTAAAGGCCGGTCACTTGATATATCAGTCACATTCCAAGGGGGCCATTTTCGTAGAACCTCAGAACTATTTTTGGACAGTCGGGGGATGGTGGCGACAAAAACGGTCGTTCAGCGGCCATCTCCTCGCACTACCTCTCTCTCTCTCGGATGGCTTCCAAATTCCTCTACCAATTTGTGGCGTGATTATTTCCCTTTCCCCACCACATTATTACCACTATATTGCCATATATATACTGTATATATAGATATATAATATAATATATAAAGGTTACCTATTTGAAAGTCTATTTTATAATTTTAGATTGTATAAGAAACATATTTTCATTTAAGTATTGTACTTATAGCCTAAGTGGTCATGGCATCTGCCCGGTAAGCGGAAGGTCGTGGGTTCGATTCCCATCCCTTGATACTTTTTTTATTTTATCCATTCTGACCAAAATCTATCCGTGAACTTCACACAGTGAACTTCACACAGACAGAATAAGGCAATTATATAAGGTAATTATATTTATTTGATTTTTGGCTCTCAAGTCCTCTACAAGTCGACAGTCCGTTAGAATATGTACAGGATTTTCTTCTTCTGCACCACATGAGCATTTAGGCGAATCCGTCTTTCTGACCTTGTACAAATATGATCTAAAGTTACCGTGTCCAGTAAAAAATTGAACGTTGTAAAAATTTGGCTTGACATATTTGGGTATTTGGGAATCAGTAAAGAAGGACTTGAAAATGGTGTTAGTCTTCTTATAGTATTTCTGCAATTTTTCCCTTATATAATTAGAAATTATATTCCTACTTGAAGAGTCAAATCGATTGTAATTTATTTCGGTTTTCAGCATATTAGATTCAATATATTCAGTAAGTTTGAGAACTTGTGCAAGTATGTGTGTACAATCCGATGATGTTGTACTGTAGGCTTGTATACAATGTTTTAAAATATTATATTGAAGAGAATTTAGTTTGTCCTTAGACTTTTTGTTTATGATTGGATACCATATTGGATAACCGTATGTAATTGTACTTCGATATAATGTCTTACGAGGTGTGTTCAAAAAGTATCGCGACTTTTGTGTTTTTTCAAAAATTATTTATTTATTCATGAATACCTATTTTGTCCCCTTCAAAGTAATCCCCATTAGATATTATACACTTGTGCCAACGGCGTTTCCAATCTTCGAAGCACTTCAAAAAATCATTTTAAAAAAATCTTTTTCAGCTCCTCCTTCGATGCCGTCTTTATCTCGTCAAGCGTAGCGTAACGTCGTCCTTTCATGGGCCTTGTTTTAATGTCCATCCATACAGAGTTCAAAACAACAACTGACTCACCCGTGCAGGCAAGGTCACGCTCCGCTGCGTCACGTGGGAAAACATAAGTACATGTTTTCTTACATGTTCTCATCACATCCCCCTTTTTAAGATTTGAAATATATAAATACATTACAAACTTTAAATGCATAATATAATTAATAATGAAGGCGATCCACAGGTTTAACAATTCGTCCACTCCGGGTTCTTATCTGGCCGTCTTTTGAGTCGTTAGAGGGATAATCCACAACTGGGGTCTTTTCATTTTCAACCAGTTCCTCCCCCGAAAAGGTCGGCGTCGATGGGTCGGCTGGATATTGCACTGTAACTCCTTTCGTAGATGGAACCTGTTTCGACGTAAAGTCCCAACTGGAGTATCAACCATATATGACCTTGGTGTCGATGCCTTCTGCTTTACAATCCCCCAGGTTCGCATATCTGTAATCCAAACCGTGTCACCTTCGGATAGCTCCTCCATGTCCGTAGCTCCGCAGCGTCGATAATATCTGGATTTCATATCCTTTCTTCTTCTCCCCTCCTTTCTTTTCAGGGTCTGAGAGTCCACCAACTTTGGATTAAGATTCTCTGGTGCAATTGGCAAGGTCGTTCGGAGTTTACGTCCCATGAGAAGCTCAGCAGGGCTGTAACTGTTCTCCAAAGGGGTCGATCGATACTCCAGGAGTCCAAGCGATGGGTCTTGATTTTTCTTGAGGATCAACTTAGAAATTTTCACACCTGCTTCTGCCATCCCATTGCTCTGCGGGAATCGAGGACTTGAAGTGACATGTGTGAATCCGTACTGCCTTGCGAAATTTGCAAATTCACGAGCAGCTCCAAATTGCGTCCCATTATCGCTTACAACAGTTTCTGGTATTCCATGTCGGGCAAATATGGATTTGCAACTACGCACCACCACACTGGCTGTGAGCCGATCCAGCTGAATCATTTCAGGAAAGCGAGAATAATAGTCAATGACGACTAGATACCACTTATTCTCGAACTTGAACAAATCCATTCCAATCTTTTGCCACGGTCGTGTAGGAAAGTTGGTTGGTATCAAAGGTTCATGTTTTGAGACGGCTTCCTGGATACAGACACTGCACTTTCTGACCGTTTCCGCGATCTCCTCCGAAATTCCAGGCCACCATACCGTCTCACGTGCGCGAAGTCTTGTTTTTGTAATCCCGAAGTACCCAGCGTGCAACTTATCTAGGATCTCCAGTTTCATACTTGCTGGAATAACAAGACGACAGCCACGCATCAGTAGTCCATTTTGAACGCCGAGTTCATCCTTGACATGCCAATAAGAGAGCAGAGCCTGTGACATCTTCTTCTTATCTGGCCAGCCTTGCTCAAGGTAGTTGACTACTGCTTTCAGGGTCGTATCTTCTTGTTGAGCTTCAAAAATCTTCGTCAACATCTCGTCTTTGTCGGTTATACTCGAGAGAACTGCATTTATATGCGCTGAGGTTTGCCGTTCGTTTTCACCTCCCTCGGTTGTAAGAAGTGGTTGTCTGGATAATGCATCGGCGTCGAGCAGCTTCTTTCCAGGGATATGCACTATTTCGAATCCAAACCTCATCATACGCATTCGGAAACGTTGCAGTCTTGGGGTCAGCGAACTCAATTCTTTCGTCGAAAATAGAGGAATGAGAGGCTTATGGTCGGTCTCAATTCGGAAACGTTTCCAAGCAGGAAATCTTGAAAACGTTCGCAGGCCCATGTAATTGCGAGAGCCTCTTTCTCGATCTGAGCATATCGTTTTTCGGTAGGTGTCATAGTTCTAGAAGAATAAGCAACAGGTCGCCAGATTCCATTCTTACCTTCTTGCTTCAGTACCGCTCCCAAGCCGTATAAAGATGTGTCGGATGACACCATAGTTGGTTTCCTGACGTCGTATGCTGCCAAGATGGGTTGAGTCGTGAGCAATTCTTTCAACTTTCGGAATGCTCGCTCCTGGCTGCAATCCCAAACGAAGTCTTGACCTTTCACCAACAACTGGTTCAGTGGAGCCACGATTTCAGATAAATTTTCCACAAAGCGTCCCAGATGGTTCACCATGCCAAGAAATCTTCTTACGCCATGAACATCGGTCGGAGCAGGCATCTTCGCCACTGCTTCGATTTTCGCTGGATCTGGTCGAATACCGTCTTCATCCAGTATGTGCCCAAGAAAATTAATTCTTGGCACGCCGAAGACACACTTGGCCTTGTTTAGTGTAACTTTCGCCTCTTTCAGTTTTCGGAGCACTAAACGAAGAATTCGATCGTGAGTCTTGGAGTCGGAGGCAAATATCAGGATATCGTCCAGGTAACACATTACACCGTCCATGCCTTGCAAGATTATTGACATAACTCTCTGAAAATACTCTGGGGCGAGTGAGATTCCAAATGGCATTCTGCAGTATTTATATCTCCCAAAAGGAGTGATGAAGGTCGTTAAATGCTGGAAGTCCGGGCTCAACGGAATCTGGTGAAAGCCACTGTTCGCGTCCAGTTTCGAAAAGAATCTTGCTTCCCCCAGTTGCCCCAGCATGTGCTCCACCACTGGCATGGGATGCACTTCGCGCTGTACATGTTCGTTCAGCCTTGAGAGATCCACACAGAGTCGTATGTCGCCATTCGGTTTACCAGCAATCACAGTCGGTGCACACCATTCAGTCGCAACGTTAACTTGTGCTATGATTCCCGCCTTCTCGAGCTCTTCCAATCTTGTTTTGAGCTTCTCCATCAAAGGTATTGGTACCCGTCGAGGAGTATGCACAGCATATGGTTTTGCTCCAGGTTTCAATTTGATTTCGTAAGGGTTTCCGATCTGTCCCAGTCCTTCAAATACTTCAGGGAATTCCTTGATCGGGTTAATTCTCGTCGCAACCACTTCAATCCGCCTCGCCAGGTTCAAGAGCTCACATGCCCGGCGACTCAGAAGAGGTTCACTCAAACGACGAATAACATAAATCTTAAAGCTGGACAACACGTGAAGTAAGATAAGTTTATTTTAATAAACGAAATGCAAGCTTTCGGGCAAAAGCCCTTCGACAGGCAAAAATATAACTATATTAAGAAAAATAACAATTTATATATGTTAATCTTGAAAGAAGACCGTTTTTTGAAAAATAAATAATAAATCTACAGTCTGAAACTACGAGACGGCGCGTGGTCGAGTTTTTTCAAAAAACGGTCTTCTTTCAAGATTAACATATATAAATTGTTATTTTTCTTAATATAGTTATATTTTTGCCTGTCGAAGGGCTTTTGCCCGAAAGCTTGCATTTCGTTTATTAAAAGAAACTTATCTTACTTCACGTGTTGTCCAGCTTTATAATTTACTAGTAAGAGTCCCTGCAATTTTTCTAAACATAAATCTTCTCCTTGATTTCATAATTGCCATTTCGCAGCGTTGATATAAACATACCCACAGTCTGAAGTTCGGAGAATTCAGCAGCTCTAATGTTGATATCACTTTCCACTAGTCGTTGCTGTCCCATTATCTTCTTGAAGAGACACAGAGGAACACATGTAACATCCGCCTGGGAGTCGAGCTTGAACTTCACCTGTTTCCCGTTCACTTGGATTTCTGCTGTCCATCGCCTCCTGCACTCGCCTTCATCATCATTGAGATTAGATGAATCCTCCACAGCTGAGACCTCCAGGAGAAAACCAATTTCTTCATCAAGTTCAGAAACAGCTTTGACTTCCGCAGTCTTCGCCTGCTTATCTGGGCAGCAATTTGCAAAATGGCCAGTTTTTAAACATAGGTTACATCTTTGTCCTTCAGCACGGCAGGCCTGTCCTTCCCTGTGGGTGAAACCTCCGCATTTTGGACATCGTGATCTTGTTTTGGCTGACTTCTCCTTCTTCCTTGAAGGTTGCTGTTGTTGTTTCGGTGATTGTTTCTTCGAGTTGAACTTCACCTGACTGACCTTTTGGCTTGTTGAGGGACGCTGCAAGTCGACCTGCTGCTGTCGAACGGCTTCCTGCTGTCGAACCATTTTCACCGCCTTTTCCAAAGTCAGTTCGCTGTCCAACTGCATTCTTTCAGATAAAGCTTTGTCCCTCACTCCAACCACTATTCGGTCACGGATCAACTGCTCATGAAGACCCTCA